CCCCCCCCCCGCCGCCCAGCCGCAGCCGAATAAATGCCCGGCTGACGGCCCGCGCCGGCGCGTGGACTCCTTTTGGCTCCTCCGGCCCTGCAGGAGGTAAACGGGACCCTTTGCCGCCACAGGGGTCTCCCGGCGTCCCCGCTCCCCTGGGACAACATGGATACCACCAGTGCAAGACTATAATCTGTGCATCTTTCGCAAAGACCTTATCTGAAGGTCCAGGAACTTTTCAGCTAAGGCTCTATTCTCCAGTAACCCATTAGCACACTGCAGGAATGGAATGTGAGGTAGCCCATAATACTAAGCACCCATCAATTGCAGGGCAGCTTATTGGAAGCATGAAGTCTCTATGAAGGACACACCTTGGTCACATAATGGACCAACTTAATTGCCCCTTCCATCTGACCTGCCCTCCTCCTCACCTACATCAAATAATGGCTGTGAGAGAGGGGACATCGAGGTCAGCCACTGACAGGGAACCAAAGGCAAGCTTTAGGGGACAACAAAAAGTAGTGTTAGCACCACCCCAAACACAAACAGTGAGAACAGTTACCCCTCACCCTGTGCCCCCACTGCCAACCAGCTAGGTACCATGGCACCATTGTAGCAAAACCCCCAGTTTTTCTTTTTTTTTTAATTTTAAAATTCATTCCCTCCCCTTCCCCAACCATTTCTGACTTTTTCTCTCCCTCTCTATTCCCTAGATAAGAGTAAGTAAGCTAACATGTAGGATAAGCTTTTACATTTTATTTTAAGTAGTAAGTTTTATTTTTCTCTCCCCTCCTTGCAAATAAGTGCCCTGCTATTTTGATATAGATATCCACTGTTTTATAACTGATAATTATTATGTTTTGTATTGATTTTTTTTTACTGCTTTTATATTGTGTGATTACTGTTTTAGGCCTATATATGTAAGTTAGCATAAGTCATGTCAAGTTTCCATCTTGTAATGTCAAGTCTCCATCTTGTCCCCAGGCCCAGTTGTGTAACCCATGACTCACACCTACCCCTCCTATGTAACTTGGTTCCTGAATGAATGGGGATGAATGAGGGTGCTTGAGAGACAATGGCAGTAGGTCTAAAAATAGCTCCCTCTGAATGACCAAACCATCAACACCACTACCTGGACCAACGACCCAGCCCTTGGAACCACCCTCAGCATTCAAGAAACAAAAGATGAGGCAACCCACCATTGTGCCAGGCTGCACATGCTCAGTAAGAACATCTGGAACCCCCTGGGACAGGACTGACATTGTCTGGACAGGCCCTCCCCATAGGAGATCAGAGGTAGTCTGCCCCATAAAAGGGGTAGTGAAGACTGACTCCTTGGGACGCCCTCTCCATCTGGACCAGCACCATGCCACAACACCCATCCACCCAGAGGCCCTGCTGGTGATCCCGCTCTGGACAACACCTACCCTTTCCAGCCTGGATAGGTAGCTATCACCCCCTTGTCAACCAAGGACTTGGACTCTGCTTCTCTTCCCCACCTGGACTCCAACCCTTCCACTGAGTCTCTTTCTCCTGCTGCCATTGTGAGTGCTTGTGTGTGTATGTGTGTGTGAGAGAACCAATAACTTCATGGGGCTGTGTAGTGTGTTGACTGTTTAATAAACCTGTTATTTTGAAACCCTGAGTTGGGTTTTTGTCTGTTTCCTGACTGTTTCCTCCTTGCCACCACTCATCTGCCCCCCCAGTCTCTAAGCTGTCAGCCTGTTTCCAGCCCCAAGCTCCCAGGTTTCTCTCTCTCTCTCTCTCTCTCTTTCCTGGCTGTCTCCTCCTTGCCACCACTTATCTGCCCCACCCCCAGCAATATCTCAGGTGTCTGCCTCAGTTTCCAGCCCCAATCTACCTTAAGTAACCCCAAGCCTCAGTTCCTCAGCAGCTTCTCTTGAGTCCACCGGTTCTAATCTCAGTTTTGGCAACTTTCACTCCCTACACTTTAACTGTCTCTTTCTCTCATCTTAACCTTCCCCCAAGTATTCCAGGTACCCCAAGCACACACATATATACCGTGCCATCCAAGTTAGGAACTTACCTATATGTAGGTGGGTTGTATGTGTGTGAACTGGTGAGTGTGTGTGTGTGTATATATATATATATATGTCATTGTGTGTATGATATATGAATTAGTGATCTGTGTTGAGTGTGGACAATTAATTTTTGTCTAACTTTTGGGATGTCTAGTGTATGTGCTTGAATTGGTGATAGGTATGCATGTGTCTAGGCTGGTTTGGATGTGTATGTGCCTGAGTTGGTAGTGTGTGTGTATGCACCTAATTGATTTGTGTGTTTGTATACGTGCAATTGTGTCACACCCTCCTGTCTAACGGTGCAATATTGAGATCCTGAGAGTTGGCCTGACTCCACAGGGCAACACCATAGTCACTCCTCCTGATAACCTGCTGGGTTTCCTCATGGGCCCAAAGGGAGAGGAGGCCCAGTACCTCCTCCCAACCCTAGCTATTAGCAAATTTGGATGATGCATTAGGAAAGGATATCATGAACAAGGCTTAGTGCTTAGGCTTTGCTGGCCTTGTGTAATGCACTAAGTCCAAACAGGTCCTCAAAGCACTGCTGCTGCAGAGCTCAACAACATTAGGGAGTATGGTACAGGATGACCTTTATGCTGCACTGCAAGTAGGTGAATGAGGCCATATGTGACCCTGTGACTCCTGGTCAGTAGAATTACTCCTGAGCCATAGAGCAATTCAGGTTAGAAGAAAGAATAAGAATTGTGGGTAGAAGACTTTTCAGTTATGGCTGCTATGCTTCCTGTGAAGCACTTTTCATGGCAGGTGTGACCAAAGAAAAGACATCAATTAATTTTGTTGTTCTGTTATGAATCCTCAAATCCCATTATCTACTTAATGCTGCTCACAGTTGATCACAAATTGTGTTTCCATAAGATCAGTCATATATTTTATTCAAAGGTGGGGACTCTTGTTCATTATGCCATGTCTCCTAGCAGACTTTTTCTTGGGCAATTCCTCCATTCATATGCAAGTGGTGATGACACTAGTGGGTAGATAACAGATGGTCCCAAAGGGATTTTTGTTTGCTTGTTTATTTTTTGCTAGCTTCTCCATCAGCTTGCTTAGAAAATGGAGGTTACACAGTGGATAATAGTTTCTGATGGCACTAGCATTAAACAATTTTCTTTCTAGTCAGATTACAGACAGCTTCAAATGACAGTGATCTCTTAAGTTTTGCTTTGCAAATATAAACCATCTCTTTAATATTTTTCATTTCCCAAATAGTCAATTAAACATATTTCCCAAGCAGGGTTTTTTTTAATATCTGATTTTCCTTCTCATATTAAATGCCAATTGCCAGTTACTAAGCAATCAATTTGAAGATCACAGGAGTCACAATTAAATAATGACAAGTGGATGGTTTTCAGCCCAGACTTCATTAATGAAATGACAGGTTTGTGAAGCTTTTCTTAAAAATAGAGGATATATGTTGATCTTACTTGCTTGTTTTCTAGGTGCTTAGAAGTTAAGTTGGTTAAGAGAAAAGCCCAAAACTTTAAACTGAAAAATATTCAGAGAAGTTTGAGCTTGCCTGGGCCTGGGAAATATTTAGCAGACACTGGGTGTGCTCAGAGGCTTAAGACAGATGTTAGTATAGTCATCATTCCTCAACTAGTGCTAAATCAATTTATTTGCAAAGTCACTGCCATACTAATAACTTGATGCTTGCTGAAATCTTCAAAGCATAAGAAAAAGGACAAACAGTAGAACTTCTGTTACAAGGACATTATCCTGACTCTTACAGGGAGCACTAAAAAGGCACACGAATACATCGAAACTGCATTATCTTAACAAAGGTCTTGTTAGGGGAACTCACAGGCAGCCTTGCGCATTAGGACTGCCAGAGACTAACTGGCAGCCCTGTGCTAACTGATGAACCGGCTGGCCACTGTTAGGCTGTTGGGAGAGCAGCCTCCCATTTTAGTCCACCTCT